GCTAATCAACCAACCTCGAGCTCTGCTGTATATGCTTCACCAATTCCTACCACTGTCAGAAACAGCAAGAGCCTTTCTGCAGAAAACCGTTTCTTCTTTGTTGAATAAAACTCTTTTCATATAGAAAATCAAGCTCATGAGCTCATGAATCTATTTTTCCTCCAGAACACTTTGAGTTTAATACAATAATGTGAAACGCTGTAGCTATAATACATGAATATTTAAATGTGTGTGAAGCACAAGCAAAAAGCAAAGATTAAGAAAATATAAAACTCATTTCTTATCACAGGAGGTTGTGAAACTCTGTTATTGTAAGTTTTTTTGCTGTAGTGACGGGAGCGGACAGGACGGCTCGGAATGTGACCACATGTGCTTTTATTGGCGAGACTGGAGGATGCCTGCATAACAGCTTCGTTGCGTTTCCATCATTTTGCTGGGGTGTCTGCAAATCTGGCAGAAGTCAGGTTGAGCGTGTGAGGTTTGTTTGTTTGTTTGTGGCGAGCCAAAGAAAAATCCAGGGGGCGTCTCCTCTGACAAACCTGCATTAAAGGCTTGTGTGATCCAGGCTCCTTTTTCCGTCCTCACTTACTCGTTGCCCTTGAAAATTGGTTTGCTCTCACACTCCCACACGCACCATATGCATATATAAGAGGAGACATGTGCACAATTTGGTGTGTGCGGAACAAATGGCTCTTTGCTGTAGAAAGAAATAATCTCTCGCTATCTCCATGCAGATATGAGAGTGTTTTTCCATTAGCTCGACCACCTCGGAACCATAACGGCCATAAACTTAATCAAGCGCTGGTTCTTTTTATGAGGCCATTTTCATAATATGGGTAACAGCACACACCACCTGAATAACACCATGCTTGCTCCGCGTGGGCTGAGGGACTCTGACACGGTTAATAAGATGTTTACCTCGAGCTGAACGCCCTGCAACGCAACCAGCCTTCCAACCGCGCTCGCATTCCAAACCCAAGAATAATTACAAGCTGGGTTGATTAATTATGTCTCAACAATATGCTGCACTCCAACGCCACAAGGGCTAATTAACAGAGCGAACAAGATGGGTAGGAACAATTATTTGGAGGTTCAAGCTCGCGCTCTGGATCTGGCAACGCTGTTTACACTACCCGGGACAAGTAAATGTGCAGATCCAGGCTGCATTGCCCAGACAGAGACCAAGATCATAGCACTGACACAGAGCTCGGAGCATGTACAGTGGAAAACCTACTGGGGACTGTGATATATGGCGAGTAAGCTGCTCTGCGTTCAGGCTGCCCGGGTGTGCACCTGACAACACACAGCAGACACGGCGGTTTTGAAATCCATCTGCCTTAACTAACTGCTCCTGCTCACGTTGCATCCATCCTCCTCCTCTACCTGCTACTCATCTTATCTCTGCAGCTCCGGCCCGGAGACAGGCCTATCGCAGAGCTCAGATCAGATCGGCCTGTAAACAATTTGACCTTGACAACAGAGAGGAAGACATACAATCTGACCCTGGGATAAGGAAGGAGGCGCACATTCCTGACAAGCTTCAATTAGTGTGGTGGCCCTGACATCCCAGATTAAAAATTGAAGAGATTACCAGGCCTGTGATGGAAAATGAGCTTTAAAAAATCATTTTCATCTTCCTTTAATCTCATCGTTTTAAGAATAATATGAAGCTATTATATACTAACTACATATTTTCATTTTCAATTCCATTCCTTTTAATCTTCAATGTGATTATGAAAAACATTTTTACACAAAAAGAGCAAATCAAAAATGGATGATAATACATGAAGTCTCTGCACAGTGACCTTCGGGGTTAATAGCTTTTAAAGGTTGCACACTGATATCTGTAACGTCTCTAATGAATTCCCTGATTATGGAAATGACCACACAACCTCAGGAATAGAAATATTGTCTGTCTCGGCCAACGCTTCTGCAAGACAAGATTTGTGCTTCTCTTAATCACCAGGGAAGGTATTACAGAGCCATCGTGAATGCAAAATTACATTATTGTCATTACAATAAAGTCATTTCATAAATCAGTTGAAAATCCTCGTCAAGGCCCGCTCTCCTCCAGAGAGTCTTTCTCCACCGCATCCACGATAATGACTCCACGTTTTGTTTGGAGATCACCAAAGTTGCCATCTTTCCTCATCGAAAACTAACAAGAGACTCGTAATTAAGAGCTGCAGTGAACCCTGGCAGCCCTGTTTGTTTCTTTGGGATTCATTAATACGTGGAGCACTTAGGATGTGAGAGCAGGTAATTTCCTGCTCTTTTCCTGAGCTATTATCTAATATATCTTGAATGCACGAGAGGCGTCCAAGGTAAACAGGAGGCAGAACAAAGTATTTTCTTTTTTTTTTTTAAACATTTGGACTGCATCAAGAAGACACACAACCCTGCCGTGCATGTGCTCGTTTCAGACAGGAAGTGTAATGCAGATATTTCAAAGAAGCTTTTGAGTAAAATGGAAATTCCCCACAGCTCCAATGAGACTTCATTTACAATGAAAAGAAAGTCAGGTTACACTGTCTGATATATGCAAAGTTTACTGTTCCAACAAATGCCTTAAGTAAATATGTGTCTGTGAAATACGGATTTCAGTGCTTTAAGATTACATTAATCAAATTAAATATAGATTTTCATTTTCAACAGTAGACAGGTGAACTAGTGGGAACAGTGTTTAATATTCTTTAACGGTGGCACAGTATAATGTGCAGCCCACAGACCATCTGTCCAGTGGGAGAAGAGGATCATGTGCCAAAAATGTCACTGTGTTGTGAAGAGTTTCCAAAAGCTCTACGCCTGAATACAAGGACGCATGGGGGGGGGGGGGCATCCTTATCCACAATTACCTCTCCAGTCTTTGAACGCCACACAGTCCCATGCTTCCTGCACCTTTCCTGGCTTCCTGTCACAGACTCATGCAGAGATCTGTTGCAGGTGGCAGCAGAGCAGGTTCATCCAGTTTTTTTTCGGGGCCCCACAGTTGACGCACAGACCTGAGCTCAGTCCCACCGATGACAGCAGCTCTACCGCGGCTGAAAACAACCAACTTCTCCCCCATCTCCTCCACAGCAGCTTCACGAGCCTCACATTGCGCACGGTGTGGTTGAGTTACTACAAATACGCACCGTCCGGACGCGTCCACTGAAATAACGTGACCGCGTTTAGTGACCCGTCCTGTCCTCCAAATCCCCCCCTCCAAGATCTCTTACTCACATCCAGCATGCACCTCTCTCTCTCTCGGTCTGAGCACCATCATCCCTCCACCAGCCTCCACAACAGGCTGTCCAACAAATAAAGGCTGGTGGTTGTCATGATAATCCAGGTGATGCATTAAAGTGCCCCACGTTTCACTTGGGATTACGGTGACTTTATGCCATACGCACAGGCTACACTTTGACTCAAAGGTAGTTTTGTGGTCGTGATGTTCAGCCTCAAACATCCCACCTGAGATTCACATGTCAGGTTCCGAGCGGTGAGAGTGACAGAGGCGACAATACACCGGGGGGACCGGGGAGAGTTCAGGCTGCGTAAAAGGTGAAAAACGCACTTCGGAGACACACTCGCAACATGTGTGGATCCGGATTGCGGACGGACGGTGACACGTTTGGATGAAAATGAGGTTGCGATGGAGAGCAATGCGTTTTATTATTATTATTATTTTTTTTAAACAGGCGATGTGATGCACATGAAGCCAAATGAGGAACAGTAACTCACATGCACATGCAACACAATCTAGGTTGTGATTCACGCGGAGACAGCAGCTTCTCCATTATTCCTCAGATGAGCGCAGCCTCTAAACATAGACAGCAGAAATCACCCGGCACGATCCCCGCTGCGCCGCGACTCCTCTCCCCCACTGAGAGCTCGACCTTACCGGGGTGGCGGACCGCGCTCCTCCCCTCTCTCCCTCTCTGCCTGGTACAGTTTTCCTCTTCACTCCACGGCCGGGCATTTGCGGATCAATTCCGTGTGCGAGCGCAGGTCTCCTCGTCGTCGCTGCCGTATGAATGATGAATGTGCGCGTTAAAATTGTCCATTTTCTCCCCCCCCCACCACCACCACCACCTCACATCCACAACAGTTCACGTACGACCCGCCCCCGGGCGGTGCTGATTGGCTCAGAGGCGGCTCGACGTCGCCTCAGTCGCACGGTAGAGACGAACGCACACATCTGGATTTCGGCGCAACTGGAGCGCTCTGGGGACACCGAATTACGCACAGCCACTGAAGCGACATGGAGGAGCGACACACTCCTCCAGGTCCCTGTGAGTGCAGTGTGGTGTTCATTGTGGCTGAAGAAGATCGAGAAGATCGTGATCCACCATCATGTTGATGGGTTTGCATGCAGACTCAAAAATAAACTGCGATAAAGTATAAGAGTCTTTATTCTGGCAGCTAGAGCTACACAGCCTATAAGAATCTGCAGGTGGAGCCAAAAAAAAAAGCAAATTAGAATTGACTAATAACAGTTTGGTTTAAAATACACCACTATTTCCATTAATTTACTTCACATACTGTGTTAATGAATGTTTTTCCAAATGCGTAACGACCGTGGCCTTTGCGCATTTAACGAGGTGCAGCCATAGACATGTGTATAAAAGAATAACAGCTGGGACTGACACAGCCCCTTGTTTCCACTGTGACACCCAGCGTTTATGTGACTTTAGCGCCGCCCCGCGTCCACAAAGAGTCATTGACCTTTCCCTCCTGGTACCACAGTGTCTCCTGCTTCTTTATTTTAAGGGATTTCAAATTCTATAATAAAGATAATCTCATATGAAGTGAGGATATACAATATCTCTATTAAATGATGTAAATGCTCATATAAATACACGAATAAGATGATGATGTCTTTAGATTTTCTACAACAGGGACTCAAACAAGACTGAGTTGTGGGATCTCCCACGTTTTCCTCGATACTCGAAGGCAGCATTACGCTCCTCCCTAACCAGAAGTGAGATCCCTGCGGTGTGTTTCCTCTGAACGTGTGTGTTTTCATTGTAACCTCAAATAATCTCCCTTCATTCATTCATCCCTCAGATTCCTCCCTGTGTTTCCTGCAGCTGAGCCTGACAGACCGGACCGAGGGCAGCAGCTCTCCTGCAGGTGGGTCCTGCTGTATTGATTGATCCGGTTAAATTGAGCTCAACAAACATCAGCTGTTCACCGACAAACATGCAGGAGTCACATTTTGTTCTGCTTTTGCTCTGCTCGCTTCTGCTCGATGCTGCTTCCAGGTAAATATTCCACAAAGGAAACTGCAAACACGCTTTTTTTAAACCTTCACCGAACTGCAGTCTTTGTGTTTTCTAAAGTTGCAAGATGTTGTGAGAACCAGAAGCTCAAACTTTCCAGTTATCTAATGTTTTACGCGTTAGAGGTCACAGGTCATTGTGTTCACACGTCCATGACCTTTATCCTCAGTCCCGTCTGCTGCAGCCTGCTGTGTGAGGACGTGTCAGTGGAAATCACTGAACACTTCAACAACGAATCCCTGAAGATAAACAGGAAGTCACAAAACACAGCAACAAACCTCAGAATAGCCGCAGTGTTGGAGATTTGCTGTTGTGTTGTTTTGTAATGTGTGTTGTAATCTGATGTTGTATTTTCCGGTCAAACGTGATTTGCACTCTCGAGCCATGACTCAGATCAAGTCACTTACACTCGGGTCAGTGATAATTGGAGCCTGACTCACTGTCTTTTGTAGCCTGATATCAATTTAGGGAGTAAAAGATTACTTACTGTACTGAATTATATTCCTAAAGTGTCGTAACAAATTAAAAAACTCATACAAAGGAAATATATCGAATGAATTCTCTTTGAAAAGATATGAGGCTCATTCCTTTACCAGCTGCTCGATGCCACTCATCTGGAAATAATTTCTCTTTGGACCAGGAACTTGATGTCGGTGCTGATGAGGTCTTGTGTTTTTGTTTGAACTGTAACTGCCAGATTGTGTTTCTTTTCTCTTGTCTTGTCTTGTTTTTTTTTTTATGAATGAAAGAAAACATCTGGACAGAGCCTGAAAAACAATGATATAACTGTAACACTAACTGTAATTTCTTTGTTAATGTCAAAACCATGAATTTAAAGAACTACTTCTTTACGTAAACTATAAACATAAACGCGTTTTACAGCATTGTATGTTCTGTGAATTAAGTTTTCATGTCTACAAACATGAACCCAGATATACATGCCAGTTGTTTTGCGTCACAGATTTCACACTGCGCAGCTGTTGTGCACGTGTTTATTCGTGGGAACGTGTTTATTCTCCAGCTGCAGATCGGAATGGTCTTCTCCTCATTCTCTCTGCTCTGTTCTCCGACCCCTCTCGTAGTTGGGGTCAGGACAACGTAACCGCCATGCTGGAACCGCAGGCCGACCGGGTCATGGCGCTCGGAGAATGGGAGGAACGCTGGCAGGAGGACAGGATCGGCTTCCATCAGCCTCACGTACACAAGTAAGAGCCGGAGAACTTAAGTTTTCTCTAAAAGCTTGACAGGGTGACGCCATCGCCTCCAGTTATCCCCTGGAAATGTCAGAAAAGATGCTACAAAACAAATCACTCACTTACAAGGAGACGAGACGAGGCGACGTTCATGTCCTGCACCCACGAGGCTCTTTCTGATTTCATGTTTCAAATACTTCATAAAGGTTAAGAGGTTTAAGTTCAGTTAAAAATGCAAATACAGAAGAATAAGCTTTAAAATGAGCTTGACGGTACATTACGTCTGTTCTTGCTCTGTGTAACTTTAGAGAGTGGGTACGATCTCCTGTGTAGATCAGTTAAAAAGACTGAGAAGTCATTTAAAAACCAGCGTTTATCTCCAATATTCAACAGGAAACCTTTAAAATATGAAGAATTCTGAAGCGTTTGGTGGATTTGTTACGGCGGCAGCTCTTTCAGGAGACGGGGATCCTGGGTAACATGGTGTTGCTTTAACAGCAGTTTTTGGTATTTTCTGTGTTTTGAAAGGATGCTGGAGAACAATGTCGATAAAGTTCTCGCTGGACGGACGGGAGTTGGTTTCTTCTTCCCTCTCTGTGGGAAAGCAGTGGATATGAAGTGGTATGCAAAAGCTTATTCCATCCTATAATGATCGCAGTCTATTGTTTTCCCTCCACTCCTCTTTTTAAATCCTCTCTCTGTGTGTTTTCCAGGTTAGCAGACATGGGCCACTCGGTGGTCGGGGTGGAGATCAGTGAAAAGGCTATAAAACAGTTCTTTGAGGAGAATAACTTGACGTACAGCGAGGAGCCTGTCGCCGCCATACCTGGAGCAAAGGTTTACAAGGTACGTGACACCGTGTGAACAGAGGGTTCTATGTTTTACTCATCCCGGATGAATAAGTATAAAGATCTATAATCTTTAAGAGTCTCATGATTATAAAAAGCTGTTTTGAATTATTTGTTCTATATATTAAGTGTATTCACTATTTAACCATTTCTACTTGCTCCTTCACTATAAAAGCTTTCGTCTGGGCTTTTATTGTGAAGCAGGAAAAACAATACATCTGTTACTGAGGGTCAGGGGGAAACCAGTAATTTAACAAAAATGTACAGAGTCACTCAATATGTAAAACTATAATTTATCCTCCATATTTATTGATTCACATTTTATTTGTTGTCGACTTTAAGACTTTCATATGTTTTTTTATGACGCTACTCAAACTTTGCTCCGCAGAGCTCAGAGAAAAACATCTCTCTGTATCAGTGCGACCTGTACAGCTTCTCCAGGTTGGTGACCTTCTTCTTATTGCCTTTTTTAAAGATGTTTAATTGGTTACATCGGTCACAGTTCATTTCTTTCAACTTCTCAGCTCCATCGAAGGTCAGTTCGGGGCGATTTGGGACAGAGGCGCTCTGGTGGCCATCAACCCGAGAGACAGAGAAAAGTAAGATGAGCCCGAGCTGCTCTACAAACATATATTTGACAATTTAAAATTTAACCATTGTCTCACTACACTGTCTCTTACACCACAGGTATGCGTCTCTCATCGTTTCTCTCATGGCCAAAGACTGCAGATACCTTCTGGACACTTTGCTGTACAATCCAGAATTATATAAAGGTACCTGTTTACTTTGTGTTTTAAAACAACATGGAGAGGAAAACACATTTACATCCTTCTGTTTATTCTCTATTTAGCATTTTAAAATGTGTATTTGCATAAGATTAAAACGTGTTTGCATTTGTTTTTCCAGGTCCTCCGTTCTTGGTGCCTGACGAGCAAGTGCAGAGCCTGTTTGGTGAGTGTTAGGAACAAATATGACAGAGTTTGTGTCTGTACTTAGTCATGAGCACTATAATTATCCTCCCATATAAATTCTGGAGGAAGCGACACTTCATTTATTTATTTTGCTGATGTTTGAAGGCTGAGATCAAGTCCGCAGATTTTTTTTAATGGTGTGTATCTTTTCCTCAGGGAGCAGCTGTGATATCGAGCGGCTGCAGTCCGTGGACGCCTTCACAGACAGACATCGAGGCTGGGGGCTGGACTACCTGACTGAAAACGTGCACCTCATCACTCCGAAGAACAGTTAAAACCCACAGCGTGGAAAAACTGATCTTTGGCATTTTAATGCATTCCTTTTACGCTGAGATATTTTCTGTCTAGTTTTTAGGAAGTACGAAGCTGAATGGAACGTCCTGTAAGAATTATAAAATAACAAGGAACATGAGATTCCTGTTGTGTTTCACTGCACTGCAACTTTTTTTTACTAAAACTGTTTTTCTCAAACAAAACTTAAGAGTAAAGTGACTTTATTACTTTATTTATGACTTCACGCAAAACCCAGCTTTCATTGTATTTCTATTTATATTTAAACCAGCTTTTATAATATTTAATTATATTAAAACCAGTCTTTCTAATATTTTTCATTATATTTATAAATATATACATATATATTTTATGTAATCTTATTATATAACTAATTGGTAGATAAAATAAAACCATGTTCGTGGGTTTATATTTCAACAGAATATGAGTGATTAGATTTTTAAACAATCCTGAATGAGGCCACTGTTAGGTGAAGTTTGGACGCCCCCTACAGGTTGGAGGCGTCAGGACACTGGCCCACCCCTGGTGGATGATCCATAATTAATTGAAGATCTGACTCAACAAGCAGCTTTCTTTTTCTTTTCTTTTTTTTTTAAATAAATATATCTGTTCATGTTTTTCTATGAGACTAATCTTGATCATGTCTCCTCAGTTTGGCTGAGATATGTACTCTGCACCATAGAGGGCGCCAAAGTATTAGAAAGAGCCTGATCCCTGCTCATCTGAATTCATATCTTCAGCCTCTAACAGTACAAGTTACTGTATAAAAGGAAACAAGCCACACTCAGCAAGTACTTTAAGTACATTTAAAAGCAAATCTTACTCGACATAGGTACTTGAGTACGTTTTCATCTCTTTATTCGTACTCTTACTTGAAAACAGTACTTCACCACTGGTGTTGCCCTCGTTATATACTTTTGAAATACTGGTACTTAACCTCACATCCTGCACTTGAACTAAAATCACAGTGTCGTACACGTCAACCAGTTTTCAACACAACCGAGCTCTTGTGTGTTTTTCCAGGGCCTGCGTGTCGAACAGAACAGAATGGTTGTGATCACGACCTTTGGCTACAATATATTAATCACCTTGACGGCAAATAGAAAACGGACTGACCCGTCATTCTTCGCCGTTGAAACGTTCAGAGCTGCGTTGCCTCATCTGGAGCTTTGAGCCGAGTCGGAGTGACGGCCAATCTGTGAGCGTGGACGACGGGGAGCAGAACAGAACAACATTGAGCGCCGCCTTACGCCTGGTGGCCTTAATGAATTAGTTAGTGGCAGGAGATGTTGACATAACACAGGTGCTTTGCTTCGACAGGCTGGAAGCGGTGTTTAGCCAGGTGGGCGTACGGAGGGGTGAGAAATATCACGCTAACAGCAGCAGCTTATTGCCCTGCTCTGTACGTGACCCTTTATCCAGACAGAAATAGCTGTTGTGACCTTTTAAAATGAATAAGTAGGGGGTGCTGGGTTAGAAAGTATAGATACCGGATGCTCATTAAATGAATTTATTCTCTTTTCTTTTTCTCCTCACCCTGTTTTTTTTTCGACAGTGTTTGCACAGCTTCTTCTGCTCTGAGGCCGGGTGATGTTTGGCAGGAAAGGACCTTGAGGGACGTCCAAGAGGAGGCTGGGCGTCTTTTATACGCTGACACTCTTGACCTGACGGCGAGGAGCAGGACTGATGGGTACTCAGGGATGACCTCCACGGTGTTTAACGGTTCAGTGAAGATGAGAGAGGCTGGCTCCGAGGAGACGGGGACGTGAGAGCACACTCAGCCACAGGTTTTACTTTAAAGTGAACTAAAGGTCGAGGGAAGCGGCTCACTGTCACTGTAAGTGTATTTTTTTAAAATACAAAATACATTATTTACTTCTCTCCACATGACCTGTCGGAGAGTGTATCACAGTCCTGCGGAGTTTGAAAAGTGTCAGTGTTGGTCGGCCGAGGAGGTCGGTCACGTCTTCTGTGAACTTCTGGGAACATTTGCTCAAACTGAAACTAGACAAATTCAAGAATCCATATCCGGTGACGTTTCAGTGAAGCCCCTGTATCTGCAGCATAGCTCATAAAAACCCACCTCCTCCGTGTTAGTGGATGAGACTTTGTTTTTTATTAGTTATTATAAAAACAGGGAGAAACATCAGGATTGATATTTTGTCTTCATTTCTAGATAGAGTGAGGAAGTGGAGACACATCGTCCAATTTGAATACAGTCAGAATATTTTGAGTTTTTCTGCCTCAAATCCCTTTCCGCAACTTAAACTAATATTGACTCGTACTATTTATCTGACTTGGCTGTTCACAGTATCATTAATCATGATCAATCACATCCTCCTGAGCATATCGTGTGATGTTCTCACACCACCACGCTGACCAGCTGCAGGTGGAGCTCCTCCGTCAGGGCCTTGGCGTCACGGTGGTTCAGGAGCTGCCTCCTGGCTCGGCCGCTGAGGAACAGATGGGCCGAGTGATCTTTGGACAAGGGCAGCAGAGACACCGCGAGCGGGGAGCGCTGAATAACTTTACCGCTGAGGGCCAGACACCTCTCGGATGTTCAGGGTAAAAACTCAGATGGAGGGGTGGGGTCAACAACTGCACTGAACAGATTGTGTATGTAAACACCCTGGAGGGGGACGTGAATACAGATTTAAAGGGTTTTATTGGAGGAGAGAGAGAAGTGAAACAGAGTGGTCTCTAATGCAATTAAACGTATTATCACTTCATGTTTGTATCTACGGTAGCTGCAATGTAAGAAAACGCATGTAAATACACAAATCACATGGCATAGGAAGGTTATTGTCTTTTTATTAGCATGTTATATTGCTGGCTAAGTCAATTCAATTAATTCTGTCGGATAACTTGAACTGGAAGGATAATAACAAGCACCAGGCTAACGCTAGGTTTATATCTGCATAAAAATATCTGAATCATGTGACCACAATGTTAAAAAAAAAGCAATTATCCTTAATGTCCATCTAGTTACATCACAAGTCACACAGGTTTTCTTCAATTGTAGTTCTCAGGGCCACCGTATACTACCTCTAATCTTTGACAAAATACTACGATATTCTACAAGTAGTGGTTTCAGACCACAGCTGTATAAGCAATTTGAAACTCCTCACATATTCCATTTTGTCAGACATACTCGTGCTGAAAACTTCCAGAAATATCCATAATTGAAGAGGAAAGCTGCCATGGTAACACACATTTTAAGATCCATGTGTTCCTCCAGAACAAACACAAAAGAAATAAATAATCTAATTGGGTTTTTTTTGTCTACGAGACAGCTGAAAGTGGTGGTGGTGCAGAATCCACATTGTGTTGTGTGCATACAGCAGGAGAGGAGCACTGGGCCTCTGGCAGCTTACACAAGTGTCAGTCTTGTGTCAGACATCAGAGAGACGTCCTTCCCTTCAGATACAGCGATGAATCCGTCTCCATCAATCACGTTTCAGTGAAGAGCCCTGACACGACATCTATCAAACACGAGACATCTTTAGAGTTTGAGCTGTTGAGTTATTTGCTGTTTAATATGTTGAATCCGGAGCCGGCTGGTTAATACATTGATGGTTGGACGTAATAGAGCCGTGAAGCAACATACTGAAAAGAAGAATCGCAGAAAACAGTGTTTCTAGTGGCTCAGCCAATACAGATGGACAAATCAGCTGAGTTAACAAATTTAAACCAAACTCTTGAGGCCGCTGTGGAAAATAAAAACTGAGATGAGGATGAGGACCATGAACCAGGGTGATGTTATTAAAAGTTCAGTCTGTTCAGTGACATCTACTGGTGAAGTTGCATGTTGCAGCTGAATTACCCCTCACCTCACCCTTCCCTTGGTGGTAGCTTGAGTTGTCATATAAACTCAAAAGATGTTTAGTTTGTCCAGTCTGGGCTACTGTGAAAAACATGGCGGCCTCCGTAGGGACGACCTGCCCACGATGTAAATATAAAGTATTCAAATATATAAGGATCCGTTTTAGGGTAAAATAAACAACAATTTGGGTGAAACACATTAGTCAAAACATCACAAGGATTATTTTATATTTATTTTCTGCCAATAGATCCCTTTCACCTAAATCTTACACACTGGACCTTTAACAACAGTGATGACCATCCTGGCATCCATGTTGGAGGTCATCCTTCACGCTACAAACTGTGACCTCAGCTGCAGAGCGAGTTGCTGGTGTATGAGTGAAAGAGGCAGAAGTTTTTGCAGCGGCACATAAAAACAGACGTGTGCTGAGATTTACAGATGGATCCTTCAGCACGAAAGGATTCAGTTTGGGGCTGAGTTGTGTGGCTCACTTTGAAAAGTAGCTCTCTGAGTGTCATCTCACACACACACACACACACACACACACACACACACACACACAACCACACACACACACACACACACACAACCGACATTGCATCTGTCAGGAATTGCCTCTGAATTTAAATCAGTTTCTTGTTTGCCAGCTGGTGGTGCTGTTGAATTAAATATAAAGAAATCCATAAAAACTTTTGAAGGTCTTCACTTTCTATAGATATTCAATTCACATATGAAAATGAAGCGAGTCCAGCACATTGCATGCATAATTCACTCGGCATAATTTCTATTTGGGAAATCAACCTTGACACAGATTTTATTTGTCTTCCCTTTCCGCGCTCACTGAAGGTTCCCCTTGTGAGACTGTGTCGTTCTGTGTCCTTGTGCTGCCTCACACCAGGCTGACAGCTACATGAACCGGTGCCACAGTCACACACACACACACACACACACACACACACACACACACACACACACACCACTATCCATCCAAGCTCGGTGGCAGAAGGGGCTTTGCCTTCGCCCTAATTGGCTGCGTAATCTGGGACACCAGGAGCCGAGTTAAGCCCTCTGTGGAGGGAAAGGATGAGGCCTGGGAAGGTTGTGCATTGCAGTGGGGGATGGGTCACAAGATAGATTTTTAAAATTTGTTTATTCATTTATTTCTTTGCACTGTGCTTAAATCCTGTTTTCTTCAAACACAATGATCAAGTCAAGTCCTCCTCTGTTTCGTGCACGGCTGGCTGGCTCCACTAAGTTTCTCCGCTGCTGTTTGTTTCTATTCCGGTCACAACAGATGAAGGGTTTGTTGAGGACAGCGAACATTGTACAGTTCAAGTGGGACCTGTTACACCTCCTCTTCCTCCTCCTCTTCTTCCTCTGCTGTTTTCTCCAAATCTCCCTGATGGCCGCTTTCCCTCTCTCTCGCCGCCTCATCCCTCGACCTCCTCGTCCTCTTCGTCCGGTGCAGCGTGGCTAATGCCAGGCGAGCAGTCAGATACCTGACAGAGTGAAACCGGCCTTATCAGTGAACGGGCGCCTTTGTCTGGTGTGAGTGAGTAATCGAAGAGGCGCTGCTGTGACAGGAACAGAGTCGATATCTACCATCATTCAGACTATGCATTTTGAATTACAAGAAATAGTGGGTTGGAATATTAACTGTTCGCCTTGAAGAACACTTTGGGAAATATGCTTATCGCTGTCGTGCTGAGATTTGAGTGAGAGAATTGATCTCACTCGTGTCTACAGGGTGAAAACAGACTGTAGAGTGTAAACTACCACTGAGGCCCGACAGTCCCATTACGAAACCACATTTAAATTCACTCCATCTGGATTCTTTTGTTTGGATCTGCACCAAACTTGACAAACTCGTAGTCCCCTAAACAAATCTCATAAATCAATGAAAATGTGGGAAATGCCCTATCTCATGAAATAAATAAAAAACCCATAGTCCGTCCAGTAGTTTTTAAACAATCTTGGTTTCAATCAAACAAACGTAGAGGTGTGAAAACCTGGAGTTAATAAAGATGGACGACGCATCTTGAAACATGTCGTGGTTGTGATATCAGGGGTTTAAACTCAGTATATAGTTTTCATTTAATGCAGAATAATGACGTCCCGCATCAAGATCTGTTATATATTCACATTTTATCCAAATCATTACAACAGTATAAAGCCATTTGCTTTCAGACTGCAGTTTTACATTTGTCTATTTCTTGGTCTGCACTGACTGACACAAGCATTTCCAGGGAGTCACCTTGTAGCTGCAGAAGTGACTCGCAGCCTCTGTGGCCAAGATGGTGCCTGAGGAATTTAGTTTGGCAGCGCTTGTGATCGGAGAGTTGAAGGGTTTACCGTGCACAAAGGGCAGACTATTATCAGGCGGGATTAGTGGTTTTCTAAGGGTTCTGGGAAAAGGCTGTTTCCACTGCTGTAAATTAATTTAGTGATTTTACTACGAGGTGGAGGACTGAGCCGGCAGTGGCAGCGTTCACATGGAAAAAAAAAACATAAAACAGAGATCTGAGATTCTGTTTTAGTTTTACGACAAAATTCCCTCTCAGCAGTGTTTGAGTTGCACATGTTTTGAAGCAGATTAAAGTGTCCTGCGTGTAAATGTGAAACAGGGGAGCCTTTGTGTTGAGCTACCATCCTGCCAGAACCAGAAGTCCTACATTTTCAATTCTACGCTATTGTCTTCTTAACAACTATAATTTCAACAGAATGATTGAAAAATAATCTTTAACTTGTCATTGTTAAAATATATCCAGGTATACCGATGTTCCGGCAGGCTTTATTATCATTATTACTTTTATTTTAAAATTCGGAATATCATGTTTCCTGCTTATAAACACTGAGTCCAGTCCAGTAACACGCTGTAACTATTAAATATGTCATACACTTTCTGTAATATAACATCTAAAAGTAAAATGTACATGCAGCTTTATTTCCAAACATATTTAATAAAAGTAGTATTGTGTAGATGTTTGGGGGAGCTATTGATTTGTACCAGCAGGGGGCGACTTTGCCCATAAAAGGCTTAAATCTGAGAAACGACCTGAAGCTCCTGTCAGTGTTTAATAGTGTGTAGTATGTATATACATTACTCAGTATATAGACTATATGTATACTGTGTGTAGTATGTACTGTATATACATTACACAGTATATATGATGTATATTATGTATATATATATATATGCATGAAGGGAGGTGTACACACTGAAACAACAGACTGACCAATCACATGTGCTCTTCCTTTTATACATCCTGCACGAGGCTTGATGATAATTGATAATCATTTAAAGCAGAACGCTGTGAATTATCGTTATAGATAAATGGCTCAATTAACTTTTAGGCTTTTCCTCGCGCTGCGCCTCCCTGTGGAAAACAACAACAACAACCAAACAATAATAATCAATAATAATTGGCAATAAACAACCTAATTGGTTTGTTATGATTACTGTGTTGTTATTGTTAAGGGGGGGGGGACTTTTTAACGCAAGTTGAAGAGAGAGGGATGGAGAGAGAGAGGGGGGAGAGAGAAGGGGGAGAGAGGGATAGAGAGAGAGAGAGAGGTGGACAGAGAGAGGCACAGGGAGAGAGAGAGAGAGAGGCAGAGGGAGAGAGAGAGAGCCAGAGAGAAGTAGAGCGGTGTGCGGCTCGTGCAGATTTCAGTGACACCACACAGCACGCGGAGGACTGTGCAGATTGAACAGAGAGCTTTATTTAAACTCTGTCACCAAACAAAATAAAGAGAAGAAGGAGAAGAAGGAGCAAAAGAAGGAGAAGGAGAATAAGTGTCGGGAGAGAGGAGGAGGAGGAGGAATATCCAAAAAACGCAACACGTATCCGGTGGATCCAGAGAGAGAGAGAAGCGGCTGGAGCAGGAGAAGAAGAAGAAGAAGGAGAAGGAGAAGAAGAAGAAGAGGGGGAGAGATTTGACACTTTAACTCCTGAAACGACGCGTTTTTCACTGAAACCGTTCAGAGGAATAATGAGGAACGTTTGGATAATTTTGACCCTCGGCCTCGCCGCCGTCCTCTCCGGGGAAAGGGTGAGTTTTTTTGGGGGGGGGGTGTAAAGCAAAGTTGAAAGTGTGTGTGTGTGTGTGTATGTGTATGTGTGTGTGTGTGTGTGTGTGTGTGTGTGGGGGGTGGGGGGGGGAGAAAACTCCGGTGCACGGACCCACGCTCTCTGCTGCTCCGTTCATTTGACTGAGAAAAGCCTGGAAACAGTTGCAGAATGTCTTAACGCGATTCTCTGCAAAATCACCTCCTGCGACGTGTTGATGGAGAAACCAGCGAGTCCGGAGTCTGGTGTGGTTGTTGAGGACTCGGCTCGTTGCTTCACGCTTCACACTCAAACCAGTCTCTTTGAGTCATTTCAGATTCGAGCTGTGACCAGAAATATTCAATTAAAAACGTTCATATCGATGATTATCGCGATTTATGTCCCATTATTCTTCTTTTGAAGTTTTCAGACAGTTTTTTTTTGGGGGGGTCCTTGATTAAAAGTTGTGGTTTTAAACTCATCATGTACGTCTGAGATTTAGCTCAATTAAGTTTCACATTTTGTTTAATTGCTTTATTGTGAAAATCATTTGGCTCTTTCATGTGCTCTGGCTCTTTGTGTGCTTTGATGAAAAAAAAAAAAACCCTCTGATTTAATTGTCTCTCAGCTCGTTGCTGCCACTTCACGATAAAAACATTCACATCGGCCGATGCTGATAATTATCGTGATGATTGTTGCATGATTATTCCTTTGTTTAAACACAAACCCTTGAGTAAAGGTTGTGGTTTTGAACTCTTCTTTGAGAGGATGACAAACTTGCAAAACAGTAAAACATTTTAAAAGTCTGATTTACATACATCCGTCTTTTGTAATATTGCAATTGATTATGAGATAATTATTGAGATTCGCTTAACGTCCTGTTTAAGATACTAAAATCTATCTGACATGCTCAGAAAGAGCCTGCAGAGGTCGATGTGCTTCTCTCACTGCTGCCATATCTGCTCAGCTTCAGTTTCTTTTATTTGGTTTCAGCTGCTTTACTCTAGCTCTAACACAGTCAGAGTTTGCTCCACACGCTTGTAATCGTTAATATCTTATTGCTTGAGTGGACACGCTTTATGAAAATCTATTTTGACATCTGAAATGAAAGATGTGATCAGCAGACTGATTACGAGTCAGCTCAGAGTAAACAGGAGAGTTAAAGCAGCATCACAGGGATTTGTTGTGAACATCACTGTGACAGTTGTGCAGGTTCACGCTCATCGAAATGGATCGACTGATTAAATGTCAGCAGTCCCGCTCGCTACCTGGATAAATGTTTTGTTTCGTCCGCCTTTTGCTGCAAAGTGTTGAATGACTGTGACATTTTAAAATGAAAAGCAGCTCCCCCCCCCGAGCAACATCCCACAATTTCATTCTCAATTTTCCCTCCCATTCAAGAGCGGTCTGATTTAAAAATCCATACTCGTGTAATTGCCTCATCCCTCTTTATTCAGTTTCAGGGTTCCAGTCCAGTGCAGAGTCTTCTAACTCTGCGTGCATCAGCTCCTTGCAAATTGCCCGTGTTGTTGCTCTGACAGATTTTGGCACTTTCATGTGCAGCCCCTGTCATTATTGTCCCCTCCTGTTGTTTCTCTCTGGGCTGTGACTTGTCGCTTGGCGCGGCGCCTCCCCCTCTGTTAGAGCCGCTCGTCCAATTAGCTGATTCAGACACTGTTGTTTTAATGAGTCATTGTTTTGCTTGAGGTCACCACAGAATACAATATTTTTATTTACATGTTTTCTAGTACAACCCTTTCTTTTATTTTACACTAAAATTGAGTTCTTCATTGATCTGAAGCAGCCCAACCTGCACAATGAGGGGAAACAACACCTCTGCTGCAAATTACAGCCTCAGAAATAGTGTTGAACAAATCGTTTTCTGACTCAGCGTCAACAGCAGCTGGAAGTCTCACAAAGGTAGAATATTAGGTTGGGTTGCAATGTAAAGGTTGCTCTTATCTCGAGCTACTTTCAGACATGCACTGAAGTTTTCACAAATTTTCCAGAGTACGTTCTGCAACTTCTCCTGCCAGCCCCCTTGAAATATATCTGGAATATGTCCGAGTGAGCCCACGTTATAATGCAAATTCACAGCGAGCTAGTGGACGTTTTAATGAAGCTTCTGACACGGAACAGATGTGAAACTGAAAAAAAACCCCACGTAAATCACGTAAATTCTGCAGCAGAATTCCTCCCTCCTGGTGCTCTACACAGGCTCCACCCCTCACCTGAATGCTCCCGATATCATCCTGTTGTTGTGAATGAGTTGGACCTGAACAATCTCCTCCTGCGTTCTGCACATGAAAGACAAACTCCGGAAAATGCCTGTAACCAATTTTCCAGACATCAAAACCGGCTTTGATGACACAGACTGTACACGCACACACTCGCTTCAACCTCATCAATACTATCGTCCTCTTTATCTGCGTCCCCGCGAGGCCTCAGTGGAACGTCACACATGACATTGATTCTCAATATTTGTGCTGGTGTTGACAAGTGTGCGATAATCTGCTTCAGGCACATCGGTCTGTGGTTTAATTACTCCGTCACTTCATGAAGATACATTACAACTCTAAGCAGAGATGAAACCAGCAGCTGGGATTTCACCAGCGGAACTGTTTTGTTTTGTCACATCCCTAAAAGATCATATACAGAATGATGTCAGTGCTTGTGTCTAGATCCTTTATTTGCATAATCATTAGCAAAGCACGGCGGAGCTACGTTGCTGTTTGGTTATCATATCTCTTTTTTTTTGGTGATTACAGCTTGCAGTGAACATCGTTCGCTCGTTGTAACGATTCTTCACTCCTCTGCATCCAAGAACTTTTGTGATTGAGGAGGAAGAGTTTGGCATGGCTACCGAGCTCGTCCCCGCCCTCGCCATGTTTTGGTGCACGCCACTCACCAGATGTCCGGGTCTGTAATTTGTGTCATGTTTTGGTGGGAAGCGTGGGTGTTGTTCACCTCCTTTTACATCTTGTGATTTACGGGAGGTTTTCTGCGTGCCGTCTCGCACTCTTGATGCCGCACTTAAAGGAATCACTTCAGACGGTGGAGGGTGGTGTTGTGGGGGTGGGGGGGTGGTGAGTCTGGATTTGGTCTGAGCTCCGGAGGAAAAAAAAAACTGGAGCGTGATGGAACAGGGTTAGGAAGAGGGAAGTGGGACGGCAGAAGAGAAATTGCTTGGAATGTCCGAGCTCAAGGGATTTTAGAGACAACAAAAGAAAGATTTCACACATCTGTTTGTATTTTTCTCCCCCCGGCATTTGTTCTGGACTGACCCACATGACCGCGAGGATGATGCGGGGCGAAAGCTGCGACTTATAGTCTTTCTTCAAAAGGGCAAGTGGGGTCAGGTCGCTGTGATAAAGTGCCCTAGGATGGACAAAAAGAAAGAGGGGGGAAAAAAAGCCTTATATTATTTCAAGGGTGAAGAGGCCAAAGCTCGGGACTTCAACTCGGAAGCTTTTGATGGCTTTCCGAGGCAGAGGTGGGGGTAAAGGTGCAGGTTGTGTGTTGTCGGGGTTGTGTTGTCTTGGTCCCTCAGCGGTGTTTGAGTTTCATTATCTGACTTGTGAGCTAGTTTTGCACCTGCTGATTCGCTGGTAATGAAATGAACAGCAAACGCCGACCTTCCTCTCAACTTGAGGCTTTTTTTTTTTTTTTCAGATGATGCGCATCAGCTCTCTGGCAAAACACACACATCTGCACACATCAGTCATTCTTCAGATGCATCAAGAACAAATAACCCACGCTACTGTTTCCCTTCTGGTAGATTGATATGAAGGTTGTATAAATCCCGAAAGTATGTTATGTTTCCATGGCTCTTGAGGTTTTCTTTTTTTAATCCTCCTGACACTCTCCAAGGCTTTTTCAACTGAATGCAACACTTTACTTATTTTGCTGCATTCCACAAAGCTTTCAGAGCCTGAATGAGGCACATACATCGGAAATTTCCCTTCTCATTCTGCAGAGGTAAAAGCAATACCCTTCAATTTAAGCACTTCATCTCCAATCCACTTCATGATCATTAAGTAGATTGCTCATCAGTGGTGAGTTTACCAAATATCCCGCCTATTTTTCTGTCACTCTTTATACAAGAATGTGAACAGAGCAGAGCAGCAAGGGGAAAAAACGCAAGAGGATAAAAACCAATCAGATAAAGGATGTAAGAAAAAGCTACGGTATGAAAGAGGACCGACGGAGCAGAGGAGTGAAAGGATGTAGAAGCAGAGGCCATATGCTGCGACTGCTCCGCCTGCTCTATATTTAATGGTGCTCTTTTATTTTGCATTAACCTAGAATTCCTCCAAGTGAAGACACAACCTGCTCCCCGGCATGCAATGGCTCGTGGTTTGTCTCACTGCAAAGCCACCTCTTTCTTTTTTTTCTTACTCTTTGCTAATAAATCCGCCTCTGCCACACACACAGATGGGGTGAAAAGAAAGTTTCTTCCTCCTTGCTCTTGTTTGGCCCCCTCGGGGGGGGTGCATTCACTCTGTTACTGTCTGCCTGGCATTATGCAATCGCTAATGGACTCTACAGAAGGCAGGAGGCCGCTCGCTGCTGCTGGACCACTGAAAGCACAACAGCAACACCCCCCCCCCCCCTCTCCCACTCTTCCTCTGAATCCATCTGTGTCCACGCATGAACTCTTGTTTTGTCACCACACAGGCACACGCGCACAAGCAGATAAAGACACATTTGCACACATGGTCTCATGCCTTCCTCCCCCCTTTGTGTGTTGATTCATTTTTTTCCATTCCAAGAATTGAAGCTACACAATGGAACACAACACCACCGTGTACAGGATAACATAGATATGCTTGTATTTTCACTGTTGTGTCATTGCCGCAGTGTCTTTGGACGTAGCTAAGTGAAGCCAAAGACACATTTGCACACACATGGTCCCATGCTAACCTCCCCTGCCTACCTCCCCCTCTGCAGAGTGATTTACAACACTCCCCATCTTGCCACATCTCTGTGCCAGCGTGGTCAAGA